ACTACACGTGCCACTGTAGGAGTGGATTGTGACTATTTCCCTTATTTGGGATGAGATTGAAATATTGATATGATTGTGATTATTCCCCTTAATTAGGATGAGATTGTTGATAGCCTTGGATTTAACGTCGACTCATACGACATATGTAGGGAGACGACCTAGCCGATCGGGTGGTGATCAGACGCCATGTTGCGCACATGGTGGTTCCTACTCTTGGTAACACCTTTTTTCGCATCATATGTCAAACCACATTGTTTATGGGGAGATGGCCTAGCCGATCAGGCGTGATCGGACTTCGTGCTAAAAACACGATGGTATATCGGTGCTAATGATCTCCCAACCAAAAATAATATTATTTTCATAATTTAAAAAATAAATTGTTATGTTTTAACTCGGCATTTGGATATCATTGATCATTACTTGTTGCTTCCATGGTTTTTCCCTTTGTTAAATTGGCATTCTATTTCAAAAGAGGACATTTAGCTTTACATACTAGTACTATTCCATATGTACTAATGTCCCTTTTGTCGGGGGCGCTGCATCTTCAATGGATGCAGGTGGTTCGTCAGCGGGCAGTTTTGATCCTTGTTAGCAGTTACTCTCTACTCACCTGGTTTTGGTGAACCTTACTCTGTTTCGGGCCTTATGTCACTAGACATTATTTATTGTGTTTTGAGGTATAGTCGGGGCCTTGTCGCCGACACTTTCATTCTACTCTTCTGTTGTACTTAGAGGCTCCGTAGACAGGTTGTGTGTGGTGTTTGATGTTGAAAATTAAGCTAGAAGTGTTGGTATTTGGCAAACATATTTTTCATCATATCTATAAACTTGTAATATTTTGGAAAATCATAAATGAATATCCTTTGAGTAATGAAAAAAGAATGTGGAATGCTTGACTCTTCTCACATATATCTCTTATTATTGATTTTATATTATTCATGGCTAAGGTTGGATAGAAGGCATCAAGTAGGCTTGCTTGACCGGGGTATCTCGATTGAGCGTCGGTAGCGCTGCCCGAGGTCGGGGCGTGACACCATCACGGCTAGTTAGATTTTTGGGTCGTGATAATAGTTTTGTTGTTGAATCTATGCTAGATAAATTTAAGAAATATTTCTATCCAATTCCCCCTATTTACCTAATTGGTGTTATTTTAAACCCTTCTATCAAAATGGCCACTTGTCGCCAATTAATCATTGTTTTATATGTTTATATGGATATTGGACCAACTGAAATCCCTGATGTTGAAACTTGTATTTCTGATCTACACAAACATTTACAAACTTTATATAATTATTAGGCAAACATTGTTGATGCTTCTGTTGTTATAGATGCAAATATTCCTTCAAGTTCAGTTTCAACATCTGCATCTGGTACTTTGGAGGATAATGATGGTGTTGAAGATTATTTGATTTAGTCTACACTAGGAGAGCATCAACAAATCAATAGCAGGAATATTGATGAACTCCAATTCTACTTGCAAAAGTCACCAGAGACCCGCACAAAGAAATTTCTACTGCTGGGTTGGTGGAGGAGCAACTCAAATCAATTTCTTGTTCTTTCGGCCATGGCTCTAGACGTGCTAAATGTGCCGATTTGGACAGTCGCATCAGAGAGCGCATTTAGCCAAGCAAGGCAGCAACTAGGAGATACACGTCATTCATTGGGTAGCAACGCTTTGGAAGTTCTAGTATGCTTCAGAGATTGGATAAGATCATAACGACGAAATTAAGGACGTGAAGAAGTAGATGAAATGGAGGACCAAAAAATTGGAGATATAATCATTTATAGTTCTGATTCAAGCAATGCCGGAAACCAAGAACCTCATGTTGACATGGATGAACTTACAAAAATGATGCAAAGCATGTGATGTACTCTTTCTTATTTTTTATAATTGTTGTAAAATTTTAATTTGCAAGTTCAAAAATTAAAAAAAAAATCAAAATAGAACTTGCAAATTAATTTGAAGTATTATTTATTATTCAATGAAAATATAAAATGAAAACCTTCGGAGTTTGATCCTTATATATTGGTCTTATTCAATAATATTTTGTAGCCACTTACTTTCAATTTTAAAATTCAAATTTCAAATTTAAAACTTTCAACTTTAAAGTTTTAAAGTTTAATTCTAAGCCTTAAAATACTTATTTCCTTAATTAAAAGTTTGTAAACACTTAAGTATCAATAACATTGAATAAGAAAAAGATAATATACTAAAAAAAAAGTAACGCGGCCCGGTCCGGACCCGCTAAGCCCGAACCCGGACGAGCCCTAATTAACCCAAAATTTCTCAACCTGTTACCAGCCCGGTTAGTCAGGCCACTATCTAGCTCGGACCACTAACCGGACGAGCTATTTTTTCGTGTCCAGTCCGGACCAGCCCGTCCGGTTAACACCTTTTATTTAACTTCATAATTTCCTACTTCAACTTTTAATTTAATACTCTCTCCGTTCACTTTTACTTATCATGTTTCGCTTTTCGAGAGTCAAACTACATAAATTTTGACCAACGTTCTAACATGTATATTTTTACCATATTCATATGAGACGAGTTACAAATTATAGTACTTTTCGTATAGTTTTCGAATATCTAAGTTTTAATTTTAAAATATTAAGAAAATCTAATCCAATTTAACTTCAAAGATTGATCAAATTGACTCTCGAAAAGTGAAACGTGATAAGTAAAAACGAACACAGAGTACTAGACTGAAAGTTTAACTAGGACAAAATTGCTCAATTTTGAGTAATGCAAAAGTAGTTTTGAAATTTCCCAACTAGAGTAGGAGAAGTTCTTTTCAATCAATTGAATCCCAAAAAATTGTATTAGGCTCTCCACACTTATCTATATTATATTAAAAGCACGATAGCCCTTAGCGAAATGTCGTTCGTCTTTTTTATCCTTTATTTTAAATTAGAGTTTATATTGTACAAAATAGTCATTTGATTATTTCTTTAAATATTTAAGAATAGTCATTTAATTAACTCCCTACTATTTAGGAATAGTCATTAATTATTTTTCTAAAATTTAAAAATTTGATTTTACTTTTTCCCTTTAGTTCTAGAATTTCAAACTAGGAAAGTCTCGTAGGAGTTGTTTTGGGTCATATGGTAGGACTACTAATCTGTCACCTTCTACTCCAATATAGTTAGGAGTATTAAATTTATCCTTTTATATTTACGAAGAGTATTAAATTTTATACCATGAACAATTTACAGTAGGAAAGTTTCTATTTAAACTTTCCTTCTTTGACATATATATTAATTACTAATATATTGGATTTTAGAATTAATATATTGGACTTTTTGTTATTTGAACTATGTAACATGATTATTATTCTTTTTATGTTACTAAACTTCCTAAATCTTTTAAGTCTTATTAGGTAAAAAAACAAAAGGGCATCTTTGAAAAACTCATGAGGCATCATGCTACAATAATGTGAATTTACGTGGATTTCATATTTAAAAACTCTTTAGTAAAAATGTCGTTCGTTCTATCCTTTAAAAATAGATTTAATATTAGACAAAATTATTATTTGATTTACTTTTCTAATATTTAGAACATGAAATAAATTAGAATTTTTACTCATTAAATCTTTTTCTTGTTTGAACTAAGTAGAAATCCTTATATTTAGAACTTTAAACAAAACAATTATACCTTCTATAAATAGTAAACTTAAAATTATGACTAAATATACAAAAATTTTATGCCGTGAGTTGTCTCTAATTGCACAATTTTTAATCTCAAAATAGATCGTTTCATTGTGCTAAATTTTAGGTAAACAATAATATTAAATTAAAAAGGCATTAAATATATTAGAGAAAGAGGGAAAATTTTACTTTGTTCTTTATCCCGATTCAACAATTCCCCTTTTAAATTCTATGAGTAGTCATGTGAGATTGCACTGGCTATTCGTTTTATTCTTTGATCATTATTTTGCTTAAATATAAATATTAATATAGATTTAAAAATATAATTAAAACAAATAGTTACAAAATTATTTAATAATAAAGAGAGAGAGAGAGAGAGAGAGAGAGAGAGAGAGAGAGAGAGAGAGAGAGAGAGAGAGAGAGAGAGAGAGAATAATTGGAATAATTTAATAACACAAACGCTTCGGCAAACATAAAGTGTAAAATTTTAATATTTTACCGCTTGAAAACAAAATTTATTGTGGATAAAAGTATAATTAATATTAAATATCTAAATTTTGATTGAGCTAATATTAAGAATTTGCATCCTCAAAAAATAAGTATTTTTTAATGCTGAGAATAAATGATTAAGTGTTTGGATTAACTAATTAAAAAAAATATTTGAATGAATTAATTAGCAAAATAATCCAATTTCATTTTTTTTTCCAAATTCGTCTTTTAAGTAAAATAATTTTTCAAGTTGACACAAATATTAAAATACATAAATATGTTTTCATAAAATACTATCAGCGATGAAAGAAACCAAAAGATAGAGCAAAATCTGCTATAATATAATACTAAAAACTAAATTAGCTAAAATGCAAACTTAAATAAATAAGAATGAAATAATAGAAAATAAAATGTATCATAAAGAGATGTCAGGTGAGATACAACTTAACATACTTATATTTAATATTATAAATATATGTATAATTAAATAATAAAAAATAAAATATATCATAAAGAGATGTCAGGTGAGATACAACTTAACATACTTATATTTAATATTATAAATATATGTATAATTAAATAATAAAAAATAAAATATATCATAAAGAGATGTCAGGTGAGATACAACTTAACATACTTATATTTAATATTATAAATATATGTATAATTACAAATATTGTACATATAATTTAACTAATTCATTATCTTGCATATTCAGAAGATATTGAATTCAGTTATTGCAAAAATGTAACAATATTATTTTCATCATTTAAACAAACGTTACATTTATTTTAATGTCAATATATATATATATAATTGACACAATACACCCGTGTGCAATGCATGTAAACTTAAAGCTATTTAGTAAAAGAGGGAAAGCTATATATTTTCTCTCTTTTTCTTTCCTCATTTTCCTTCCCCGGCCAGAAAAACGGAGAGGACGAAAACCCCCTTATACATAGATCTTTGTTTTCTCCTAACCCCGCAACCAGACTGCAGAAAACTGGTAAAATTTGAAAAACCCCGGAGGATCATAAACCCCGAATTCCAATCAAAATCAGTAATCTAGTTATCTCTCTCTCTCTCATATACAAAAGTATCCATTTGAATATACAATTTCAGAGTAACTAATGGACGAAGGAGAAGGGGGTTTAAGCTTTGATTTCGAGGGCGGCTTAGACACTGGGCCGACACACCCAACTGCTTCCGTACCAGTAATGACACAATCTTCCGATCACAACATTGCCGCGGCCGCCGCCCCAAATGCTAACATTAACCAGCCGCCTACTGTCTCGGCCCATGTAGGCGGGGATGTAGGGTTTGTTGGCAATCGTCGGAGTTTCAGGCAGACTGTTTGCCGCCACTGGCTGCGGTCACTGTGTATGAAGGGTGAAGCCTGCGGCTTCCTTCATCAGTATGATAAATCTCGAATGCCAATCTGTCGGTTTTTTAGACTGTATGGGGAGTGCCGTGAACAGGACTGTGTTTATAAGCACACAATTGAGGATATCAAGGAATGCAACATGTATGACCTTTTTTCTTTAACTGATATTTTAACTTTCGGGTTATGCTCATCTATCTTTAATAACGCAACCAACCAAAACTATCTATATTTAGTGTAAACTGGTAATTGAAGAAAACAAATACTCCTATATGTTGCAATTGGCTATGAGGTTTCCTACTAGAATAATGCTATAATCTCCGTCCAAACTTTAGCCTCTATGAGGCCCCAGGGCTTTAGTCTCAGCCTTGCATGTCGTAGAGGTTAAAGTTTTTTTTATCTTAATAACTGAGAAATCCCCGAGGGCCAATGACACACGGTTCAAAACTCCGTGGATAATGGACTTTCCCCTCTATCCTTCTCCGCTTAAATACCAGATTTTGTCTGCAGCAGGGTTTGAACTCGTGACATAGGNATATATATACGGTCGAAATCGGGCTCGACTATTACACAACAGATCGGGCTCATAACGCGAAGGGTTGAAGATCGACCCGAATCTCATCGAACCAGAACACGAGGTCAGAATGTCCATCCTCAGGAACATTGAGCCCGTGATCCCGGAATTAACCCTGACCCCGAATAAGCTCGAGGAAATATTGCCGGTATAAAACAACATAAGACCGGAATAACGGAAGGCCAAAATATCCGTAGCCGATCGGATATTTCGACGGGAATCTCAGGACGTATCAGTAAAGAACTGGTATATAAGCAAACCAGGAGATTTTTACCTTTTATAGAATTGTATCTAAGGTAGGACTCCCCTACTATATAAAGGGGAGTCTGATTACTTATAAAACACATTGTAACACGCATCCCAAAGCAGTATATTACTATTGTCTTCAAGTTCTTATTATTCTCTTGTTGTTCTGTTATCAATAAAAGCATTTTTGGGCTCGAGGGTGGCTAACCTTCAAAGGCTAAGACTGTTCAACTTAAGCGGTTTGCATTCACTTTTCCATTACTTATTTCAATTGCAATCTGATTTGTCGTTTAGTATCAAATTAAATCACGTATCCTTAAAATCACTTATAAATTCAATTGTTGTCCGATTTTGAGGGTAAACAGTTTGGCGCCCACTGTAGGGCTAAGGATAATAGTGGTTGTTTGGTACAAATCTCCATAACACACACTACTTTACACTTGCTCTTTGAAGTGTCTTTGATTCCAGGCTAAAACACAAAATGTCAAACTCTCAATCAGCACCCCTACATGTTGACAACGAGTCCGGTCATCAAGGTGAAAATAACAATATAGCAACCGGTAACGAGGTACCGCCTGCTGATCCCGTTGGAATTCCGATCGTAGATCCAATTGATGCTAATTCACATGTGGCTATCGACACGAACTTGCCTACCGACCCCGAAAATAACGTCCTTGGTGGAACCCGATCGGCAACTCAAAACACACAAAACATTGAAGGGGACGGGATCAGTCTATGGGTGATCTTCGAAATGTTGCAGGCTCAACAGGCGGCGATAGCCCAGTTGCAGAACCAAAGCCGTGCACTGAGCAAGGTTGAGCCCGATCCTCCCCGTGAAGTCACCCGCAGGGATGAACCGGTCATAGAAAGGTCAAATGAACATGAATCGGGGCTAACCTCGAGATCATAAAGATGCTCGAGGAGCTGACAAAACGGATAGAATCAGGGGAGAAGAAAATCGAAGCTAACGACAAAAAGGTGGAAACCTACAATTCCAGGGTAGACCAAATCCCAGGAGCGCCTCCGATATTGAAAGGCCTGGATTCTAGGAAGTTCGTGCAAAAACCTTTTCCCCCGAGCGCGGCTCCGAAACCGATCCCCAAGAAATTCCGTATGCCCGAAATACCTAAGTATAACGGAACGACCGACCCAAACGAGCATGTAACCTCTTATACATGTGCCATCAAAGGGAACGACTTGGAGGACGATGAGATCGAGTCTGTTCTGCTGAAAAAATTTGGGGAGACCCTGCCTGTCAAAGGGAGCTATGATATGGTATCACAACTTACCTCCTAATTCTATTGACTCATTTGTCATGCTTGCAGATTCTTTCGTGAAAGCACATGCTGGTGCCATCAAGGTCGAGACTAGGAAATCAGACCTTTTCAAAGTAAAACTGAAGGATAACGAGATGCTCAGAGAGCTCGTGTCCCGTTTTCAAATGGAACGAATGGATCTGCCACCGGTCGCGCTGATGATTGGGTTGTTCAAGCTTTCACTCAGGGACTCAATGTTCGAAGCTCGGTGGCTTCACAACAACTGAAGCAGAACCTGATAGAATACCCGGTCGTTACCTGGGCTGACGTGCATAACATGTATCAATCGAAAATTAGAGTCGAAGATGATCAACTCGAGGCCCCTTCGGGGTCTGTTTATCCTGTCAGAACCCTTGACAGAATCAAGAGAGATATCGATCGTGAACCGAGATTAAACAGGGATCGATATTAGCCATATAATGGAAATCGGAGAAGCAGTGGGTCCGGGCGGAACCCCATGAGAAACGAAAGGAGAAATGATCGAGGTCAGAGCAACCGGGGACTCATGACCAAAAACAATTTCGACAGGTCCATCGGGCCTAAAGAAGCGCCGAGGCCATCGGAATACAACTTTAATGTATGCTGCCGCCATTGTATAAGCTATCGGGCGCATCAAAGATACCAAATGGCATCGACCTCTACAATCCGATCCAACCCAAAGGGATCCTAACCAGATGTGCAAATATCATGGCACTCACGATCACAGAACGGAAGATTGTCGACAACAGAGAGAAGAAGTAGCCCGACTATTCAACAATGGGGACCTTCGAGAATTCTTGAGCGACCGAGCCAAGAATCATTTCAGGAACAGGGATTCTAACAAACAGACAGAACAACAAGAACCTCAACACGTCATTAACATGATCATCAGTGGGGTTGATATCCCACAGGGGCCGATGTTGAAATGCACCAAAGTATCCATCACTAGGGAGAAACGGACTCGAGATTACATACCGGAAGGAACTTTATCTTTCAACGACGAGGACGCGGAAAGGATTGTACAGCCGCAAAATGATGCTGGTAATATCTGTACTCGTAAATAAAATTCGAGTTAAACGTGTGTTAATCGATCCAGGTAGCTCGGCCAACATCATTCGATCGAAAGTCGTGGAGCAGCTCGGTCTACAAGACCAAATCGTGCATGCGGTCCGAGTTCTAAACGGATTCAACATGGCATGTGAAACCACCAAGGGTGAGATAATGTTACCGGTAAACACCACTGGGACCATACAGGAAGCTAAGTTTTATGTAATCGAAGGAGACATAAGGTACAATGCTTTGTTCGCAAGGCCATGGATCCACAACATGAGGGCAGTACCCTCAACCCTGCACCAAGTGTTAAAATTCCCACCACCAGATGGAATTAAAACGATATACGGAGAACAGCCAGCCGCGAAGGAGATGTTTGCGGTTGAAGAGGCGATTCTGATATCCGCACTCACAACGCCAAAGGGGTCGAGTTCGATCACAAAGCCAGAAACCAAATAGCAATTACCAACACTGGCTCCGATCCAACCGGGAGAATAGGGGATTGATAAAGACGATGATTACGGAGTACCCAGGTCTTTTATAGCCCCCGATGATTCCGACGCCACCAATCGACGGTCGAGGAGCTGGAACGGGTCACATTGGTCGAGCATCTACCCGATCGACAGGTACACCTGGGCACGGGGCTAAACCCCAAGCTCAGGAAAAAACTCATTCAGTTTCTTATGGCTAACGTAGATTGTTTCGCTTGATCCTACCTTGATATGACAGGGATCCCACCGGAGATAACCACTCACAAGCTGAGCCTGGACCCGAAGTTCCATCCGGTCAAGCAAAAGAGGAGACCCCAGTCCGAGGTCAAACATGCTTTCATCAAGGACGAGGTATCTAAACTCCTTATAATAGGGTCCATTCGGGAGGTTAAATACCCGGATTGGTTAGCAAATGTGATAGTAGTCCCTAAGAAAGGGAACAAATTAAGAATGTGTGTAGACTATAAGGATTTAATTAAAGCATGCCCCAAGGATTCTTTTCCTTTGCCCAACATCGATCGAATGATCGATGCCACGACCGGCCACGAGATCCTCGGTTTTCTCGATGCCTACTCCGGGTACAACCAAATACGGATGGACCCGGGTGATCAGGCGAAAACCTCCTTCATCACAATATACGGCACATACTGCTACAACGTGATGCCATTCGGTTTAAAGAATGTCGGTGCCACTTACCAACGCCTAGTAAATAGGATGTTCGAGGAATAAATAGGAAAATCAATGGAGGTTTATATTGACGACATGTTGGTTAAGTCCTTGCGAGCAGAGGACCATTTAAAACATTTGCAGGAAACCTTCAGCATATTGAAGAAATACAATATGAAGCTGAACCAGGAGAAATGCGCGTTTGGAGTTGGATCAGGTAAATTCCTCGGGTTCGTGGTATCCAACCGAGGAATCGAGATCAACCCAGACAAAATCAAAGCCATTGATGACATCACGGTTGTAGACAACGTGAAGGCCGTTCAAAGGTTAACTAGGCGCATAACTGCCCTGGGGCGATTCATTTCAAGGTCGTCCGACAAGAGCCACCGATTCTTCGCACTATTGAAGAAGAAGAATAACTTCTCATGGACTCCGGAATGCCAACGAGCTTTGGAGGAACTCAAACGGTACTTATCGAGTTCGCCGCTACTTCACACGCCGAAGGCAGACGAACCAATGTACTTGTACTTGGCGGTTTCGGAGATAGCGGTAAGTGGAGTCCTAGTCCGAGGAGATCAAGGTACGCAATTTCCAATTTACTATGTTAGCAGGACCTTAGGTGAGGCCGAAACTAGGTACCTTCACCTAGAAAAACTGGCGCTCGCTTTGCTAAGCGCCTCTAGGAAGCTAAAACCATACTTCCAGTGTCACCCCATATGTGTCGTAACTACTTACCCGTTGAGGAGCGTTATGCATAAGTCCGAGCTCTCGGGCCGGTTGGCCAAATGGGCCGTGGAAATAAGCGGGTACGATATTGAATAT